GATTTTTCCTGAGTTCTCTCAGTGGCAAGGAGCTTGGTTCATTTCCGTTGTGCTCAAATTAGCTTTTGATTATTTTATCCACACCAAATGCCAGCAACAGCCCAGATTGTACTCATTACAGGCTATCATGTCTCCCCTCAGTTGTTTATAAAAAGGGTTCTGCTTGGCCTCGGCTACTTGTAGTTGAAGTCATCTCGGGAAAAGTGGAGAACCACAGAAATTCAGCTTTGAAAAGTGACAAGCATGGCGAGCATTCATTTCACAGTCACACAATTTTTGCTCTCCTAATTTCTGTTAGCTGGAAACAACAGCAGTGATAGAAAGCACTTCCTTAGAAATACAACTGTCTATGAACACAATCCAAGCACGTCTACTCATATTTTCATGACAAACTAGATTTGGAGGGGCATATGGCTATGGATGGAACACAGGACCAAGACATTTATCAACAAGCAATTTATGTTATACAGACTTGGAAAATGCTCTGTGTGTGAGTGTCATATCCCCAAACATAATCACACAAAACTGAATGCCCAGAAGATGTGGCTTTTCAATACATAGCTTATGTGAATCAAAGGAATAGAAAAGACTAAAGTGTAGATTCCAATATGAGCTTCATGACGGCTCTGTGTGCATGTGTGTGTGTGTGTGTGTGTGTGTGTGTGTGTGTGTGTGTGTGTGTGTTCAGGTACATGTGTATGCATATGTGGAGTCCAAAGTTTAATATTGGGTATCTTTCTCAATCATCAATCACTTTTCACCTTATTTCTTCAGGCAGGGCTTCTCGCTGTCTGGAGCTCACATACTCAGCTAGACTAGCTGTCTAAGAAGCTTCAGAGAACTTTCTGTCTCAGTCTTCCCAGCCCTGGGATTACAGGGGTGTGCTGCTGTGTCTGGGTTTTTCATGTGGCTGTTGGGGATGTATACTTAGGTCTTCACACTTGTATGGAAGTACTTTAAGACAGAGTCATGTTCCCAGCCTTTTATGGTGGCTTTTAAATGGTGGATTTCCAGGTAGTCTAAATAGTGACACTGAAGAGTCAATAAAAGTCTTTCTGAGGAGAAGACCAAACAAGTTGAGAGCTGGGCATAGGTTTGTAACTCAGAGGGGCAGAAACACTGTCAGGGAAGAGGGAACTTCTCTTCTCATGAAAAGAAGAAACGAAGTGAAAGTCTACTCATGGTGGGAAGATGACAGATTTACTAGGTCCTGGTGTTTGGCTGTGAGTTCTGAGCAACAGAAACAGGAAGGAAGCGGTTGTGTACTGCTTCTGACTTCTTAGGAAACCTGTGGATGGGGCACAGGCAAAGCCCAGTCTTTTCCCACCTCAACCTCTTCCTCGGGGAATCTTGAAACACACTTAGTTTTCCTTAAAAGAAATGAGAATTTTCACAACCTAATAGTTAAAAACAAATGACCACCACCCAAATAGAAGGCTGTAGATGGCAGGGGCCTGTCTGGTCTTGTTAGACCCCCGGAAAACTCAAGTATCCGGGGTCCCAGGCCATGTTCACGGTCACTCCAATCACCAGGTAGATTCGAGAGCTTGCTGCAAACTGCATGAGGCTTTATTGTAATTTAAAGAGCTAACCCCATGTTAGCTCGGGTCTTTCACCCATCCGCCATGGC